GCAGAGCCACCCCTGACAAAGTAACCAAGTAGGTAGTGACTCCCTAACGTGGATTAACTAAGCAGAGTCACTCTTACAACTGTTAGGAAGTGATCACCTAACGCGGATTAACTAAGCATGATCATTCCTAAGCATACATGGCCATAAGGATCACCCAACGTAGATTAACCAAGCAGGACCACTAGTGATCCCCCAATGTGGATTAACCAGGTGATTACATCCATGTACCACTGCTACATGGTGCAGTTAGATCAACACACAAACCACTTACCCTTATCTCATCCGCTATGATTTACATTGTAATCACTTGCACTATCAACTTCCCATGACCACTAACTATCTTATCATACAAGCATAAAAGTTCTACATAATACTTCTCATAAGATTATGGGTTCATATCGTCATAAAAACAATCATACACATCATACTAATCATACATATCTAACCACATTTGATAAACGTTTCCAAGCTACAGTCGAATCATAATTAATAAACATAGATCGATGCTAAAAATAAACATAACAATTCAATAGAAAGCACATTTAATAACAAATGTAACTCAATATGGTGCCACTAATACATATATCGAGACACACGTCAATTGGAAATGACACGTCATCGTGATGAGCCAACTAAGCTCCATCAAGCCTCAACAACAAACTAGAGATAAACAACACTCTAGAGTAAAGCACATTGACTAGAACGTTAACCGTCAATAAGGTAGGTCCATTAAGGTCAACAATCTAAGGTTATTCAATCTTGAACAATCTAAGGTTATTCGTAAGTTCTCAAAGGTCCAACAACTGATAACTAGGGTGCTCACAAAATTGTACGACGATCCAATAATCGGATTGTTGTCAATCACGCAAACAAGTGGTGGTCCAATTTGATCACCACACAAACAATTGAATTTTGGGAAACTGAGCTAGACATAGGTTCATAGGGTCACTACAAGGTATTTGGTACTTAGACAATACTCATGAACGGTCCCACGCACCACCACAAGTCATGGTAGCCAAGGTGGAGGGTTTAGAAAACCTGAATTTTTAACATTAACTAAATGAGCTCAAATTTACGTGGTAGCTAGAGCTCAACAAGGGAAACACTTTTCAAAACTAGGCCGACGATAAATTCTAACCGGAAACCGTCCAAATTCACCGAAGAAAACTGGATTTCTAAGGTTCTAAACACCCAACTCTAAAATGAATATGAAAGCACTAACCAAGCATACAAACTTGAAGATTATGAAGAGTAGATGAAGTTTCATACCTCATTCGAAGGAAATAGTTGCTGGAATCACCGGAAAAATGATAAAACAGCCGGAAAAGTCGTGCCTTTGTGGCTTCGAACTGCAAAGATGGAAAAGAAAATGAGAAATATAACACTAAAGATGTGTAGGGGTCATCAACAACTTTCCATGGACACCAAGATCACCCAAAATAGAGCTCGGACAGAGGAGATACAAGCGGGTCAAGTTGGTGGGTTAACGGGCCCCTCCCCCTCTTTTTTTTTTTTTTTTTTTTTTTTTGAAACCTTCCCCCTTTAATTTGATTGGTCCTTCTCCTTCTAGTTGATTGGTCCCCTTATTTTTGCTTAAATCTGATTAGGCTTCTTCCTTTTGGAAGTTTAAATGATTTCAAATCTATAGTTTAGTAAAACAACTTCAAATGTCCGTAACTATACTGTTATGATCCGGACTCACAAATGGCTTTCGCCTATATGTTCGTGGTTTCAAGATCTATTCAAAAATATAAATTATGACCTCGAACGATCTACGGATTTTAAATAATTAATTTCCAAATGTCAAACTTCGTAACTAGTTTAATTAAAATCTAAATTCAAACAAATTAAAATAAATTCTCGAGAAATAATATAAAATCTCAATAATACAAATACGTAGATTATAACAGTGAAATCCAGGAACGGGATTTCACAATGTTAGAGTTTTACTGTTAGTGAAAATATTGCTTGGTGTTTATAAAGTCTTTACAAACTATATAACATCGACTCATATTTCAATTAACCGTAAATATTGGGACATGATATCAAAGATCGGAACCATTCATCTTCTTACATCCCCCAAATGATCATGTTTTCAAAAAAGAAAATTTTAAAAATGAAATTCAATATAAAGAATAAAGCTTAAACGACAATCGATGGTTAAATACAAATTTAAGGTTTATGGATTATAGTGTCGGATTTAGAAGTTGACTCCTTCACAAAAGTTGTAAAGCTTGTCACTACAAGTGATTGTGTATATATATATTTTTACATTTCTTACACTTCTACAATAATTATTATTAATTTTATTACTTTTACACTCAAATAAAAAATACTATTCATGACGGTTTGGAGGGTTTTAAAAATCTAAATGATAATGTAAGTGTAACCATTATCTACTCGTGGAGGAATGATGAATCACAAGTGTTTATATATTCTTTCACATTTTTCATACTTGTTGGGATGTCTTATTGCCTATACTAATACTATACTAGTTGGTTTTAATTTTGGACAACATGTTAAGTAAAATTTATCATATTAATGATAATAAGAAACTCTCATAATAAAAATAAATAAATGAATAAAACTTAATTTTTTTAACTTATATAGAATAATAATACAAAAATATATATTTAATATAGAATATACCAATATATACAATATGGCTATTGTATTTTATAATAAATTTTTGGGTAAATTACATAATATCCCCTCAGGTTTGAGGTCTATATAACCCCATACAACATCTTTAAAACATTTCACTTTCATATCTCACGTACTATTTTATTTCTAAATAATACATCTGTTACATTTTCCATTCATTGATCTGTTAAGCGCTGACGTGGCTACCACATTTGTGCCACGTGGCTGCCAAATGTGTGCCACGTGGCAAAATTTTTTTTTAAAAAAAAAAAACCTGAATCTTTTAAATAAAAAAAAACATAAAAACAAAAAACAAAAGCTAAAACACACCTCCCCGCAACCCCTAAACCTAGAAACCTTATCCCCTCACGACCCATGCAAACGCACCTCCCTCCCCCTCCTCCTCTTTTCTTCTCCCCCATCTTCATCTTCTTCCCTCTGCAACCCAAGAAAAAAAAACAAGCCCTTCAGTTCGTCTTCACCCCTCCTCCTCCTCCTCCTCATCTCTTCTCCCCCATCTTCATCTTCTTCCCCCAACCCCCTACCTTCAACCCAGAAAAAAAAAAAAAAAAAAAAAAACCCAGATCCCATCTACGCCACTATCACCTGAGAAGGAGGATTAGAAGAGGAATTAGGGTTTGGAGTCGGAGAAGATCCAATTGGGGACGAATCTGACGGAGAAGCCATGATCTCGAACAAGAATCAATCGACGAACAGAAGAGAAATCAGAGAAGAAAGAGTGAAGAATTAGAGTTGAAACACCAAGAATCGATCAAGAGAAGATCGATCGATGCGGAAGATGGATACGATGCTGTGAAGCAAAAAGGCGAGATACCATAAAGAGAAACAAATCTTCTTCTGTAAGATTGTATTTCATTGACTGAATAAACAATTACATGGATGTACATTTATATAGCCTTTTGGCTCTTTACATTTATACCCTTAGCTTCCTTAACTAAACTTATACAATCCTAACTAACCACAACTAATAACAAAACTAACTACATTTAGTTTTTCCAAACTATTTATCATTAACAGAAATGGATGATGTATCATCTGTCCTAATAACTATCACCTGGTTCGTGAGGTGAAATTGAGAGGAATGGGTGTGAATTTAAGGAGTGGGGTGCGTAGAGGAGGGAAGAGGGTGGGTGCGAGGGTTGGTGCCAAAGGTGGGTGCAGGGGGAAAATGGGTGGGGGTGAAGAGGAGAAAGGGCTCGGGGAAGGTGGGGGTGGGTTTTTGGATCCGAGGGGAGGTGAAGAGAGTGGGGGAGAAGGAGGTGGTTGGGAGGCTTGGGAGGGAGAAGAGGGGTGGGGAGAGGTTGCGGGGGTGGGTTCTGCGTTTTCCAAGTTTTTTGTTTTTCCAGAAGATTCAAGCTTTTAAAAAAAAAAAAAAAAAAATTTGCCACGTGCCACATATTTGGCAGTCATGTCAGTGCTTAACAGATCAATGGATGAAAAATGTAATGGAGGTATTATTTTGAAATAAAATAATATGTGAGATATGAAAGTGAAATGTTTTAAAGATGTTGTATGGGGTTGTAATAGACCTTAAACTTGAGGGGGTATTATGTAATTTACCCTAAATTTTTTAGTAATTAAACTTTAAAATTTTAATTTATTTTTCCTAACGGGTCGAAACGGGTTACCCACGTGTTACCCGCATGTATACCCGTTAAGAACCCGTTATTAATGGGTTCCTAACGGGTCACCCGATAATGACCCGATTAGCTATTTTGTAGACCCGAAACCCATTATTTTCGTGTCGTGTTGTCAATTAGAGTGTTGTTTTTCCTTTAGCTTTTACTGGTGCTTCATCTTATTTCTTGAAACTTTAGTTTGAGATAGGGTGTTATTCATCACCCTCATGCTTTCATCAATATGACTTACGTTTCACATTTTCGTTACGAGCAGCAGAGGGGCATTTTGCTTATGCCTTTCAAGGAGGTGAACCTTAAATAGATAAGTGAGTCTGGGAATCTGGTGGATGATTATTATATATAAGTGAGTATATTTCTTTTGATGTTATAGAATTAAAGAAAAGTAAATTGTTTTTATTCCTAAAATTTTGAATTCTACTACAAGTGAAGCTTTTGCAAAAACTGAACCACATAACCAATTGAACCACATAGAAGAAGAGGAAAGTACATAACTTTGAACCCAAGTATAACAGAAAGTGGTCAACTGATTCCTAGCAATTTTGGTAGTACTCCAGCTTAACAAATGGCCCTAAATTAAGGGGGCAGATTAAAGCCAATGACATTTTTGTAGAATCTATGAACTTAAAACACCCTTATTGAACCCCCATAGATCATCTATATACAAATGGCCCTAAATGCAGGACAAGAGTGACTCAATTAGACAGTGTTAATCTCAATTAGATTCATATAAGAAGGGTTATCCCGGATGCAAAAATTTGCAAATCAGGGTACATATTCGATTTTCTACAGAATCATGTCGTAAAGAAACACTAAAAGTAAGCACACGAACAAAACAAAAAAAAAACATATCCGCAGCTGGCAGTGGCAGTATATCCACAAAAATAGAACATCTACCATGAGGCTACTACATCTTTTTAAGCGTGTTCACATACGTGTAACTGGAAAATGCTACAAACAGCTTGCGGAACCTGTAGATATAAAATGCAAATGTTAGAAAAACTAATAGCCGACTATCTGAATTTGGGACTAGCCAGAAATTGATGACTTGGATTCGTTTCGGTTGATGGAAGCTGAAGAAGATTTTGTAAAAGAAATCTAAGGATTCACAAGTAAAATATGGATGAAAACATGAGAAAATGTTTTGAGATTGCATGAATAATATGGTTCGGTATCCTTTTCAATTCATAATGTATAAGCGTACCAAACCCATTGGCTGGAATGCTGTGCCATCGCCAGGAAGCTCTTTCTGGGCTGCTCATTGAGCAAGCAATGCACCACTTCATGTGAGGATTGCATGGGATTTAAACTGGACAGCCAGATATCGACTGGTCCGCTATACTTGCGAAATATGTTTGTACTAACCTGGGAACAATTAACGGGACAGCAAAACAAAAACTAACATCACTGTTCAACATCCAACAAGTATTATCGTATAAGAATTCAGGTGAATTATTGTTTGTTCAGAATTTCAGGATACTTGCGAATGAAGAGAAAACATACGAGTTCCCAGGCTTCAATTTTCCTTTGTGACGACGCTTGTAAGAGTTTCCTGCTTACAACATACATAAACTATAAATAAATGTGGCAAATTACAGTATGCCATAGTAAACAAATAACACCACAAAATGGTCATCCCGAAAGACGTACATCAACCAGGATGGAAGAAGACAATAGTTAAGTTCGGTATTCATTTGGGGCAAGTACGTCATTATCTTATTATATGCAGTCAGTGGTGCAAGAAGTTGCAGGATTACTCTCATTAATTACTATTTTCTTTCTTTTTTTTCTTTTATCACCCAGGAGAGCCACCCTGTCAGCTTTCCTGACAAGGAAGCCCAACCTGGGGCCCACTGCTGAACATTACAAATCTTTGGCAGCAGGAAACACTTGTGACTGCTAGATAGGTACCTTGACAGGTTTCAAACCTGAGACCTCATGGGACAACCGAAGTGCCTCAGCCACTACCAATGTAGCCCTGTTACTTATAACTCCCGAAGTTTCAATTTAGAGGTCAAAATTTGTCCGAAAATAGTGAGATTCAAAAAGTAAGGAAGGAAATTTGTACAGCAAGAGAATACATTCATGTCCCGAGAAGACTAGTACCTGGTCTTTAACTTTTTTGTAACATCTGTCATAAATATCAAACATATTTAGGAATTTGTTGTTAGGATCTGGTTTGCCTTTTTGTTAGTCATATTTTGTTTAGGGTTGTGTTAGGAAAGGTAAGGTGCACAGATCCTTGTCCTACAAGGATTAGAAAAGAATTAAGTTTTCTTGTACAATTAGATTGGGAGTCCTAGAAGCAGAATTGCAATAGGAAAGAAACTGTAATTTTCTATCCATATAGAATAGGAAACCTAATCAGAAAATAGGATGTAAACCATACCCTATACTTATAAATAGAGGTGCGGGAAAGGCTGAAAAGCTAGTGAGAGATAACAGAGAGACAGCTGAGGGAAGAGAGGGACTAGGTCTAGGGTTTGCAAAAGTACATTATACTCTATTATTAATCAAAGAAGCCGTGGTTTCTCTACCCAGAGAAATCATAACTGGACATAGGCAAAAGTTTTGCCGAACTAGGATAAATCTTGTGTGCTTCTAGTTATTCTCTAATTTGCCAAGTTTAGTCTAGTGCCGGAAACATCAAAGAACAAGATACAGAGGGGAGTCAAAATTACAACATTTTGTAGCAAGAAATTCCTTCAATTTCAAAAATATTGATCAAATATGACTAAGAAATAGAGTTCAACTCACCTTACCCCATAATGCACATCACGGTGGTTACAATGGCCCGAAACTCCGTAGTTATCAAAAGTAATTATCTGGTAAAGTTTGTGTGAAATGGATTTTAAAATGGGTGTTGAGATTAAAACAATAGATTAGGCAATACTTCATACAAAAACAGTAGTCCATCAAACGATGCTTATCACATCACCACAAAAAGACAAGAACTTAAGCAGTACTAAATTTCAATAGTCCGAAATTACAACAGAAGGTGCGTTCATAAAGAAAACAATTTACCAAGTCAATGTTGTTTCTTGTAATTTCCTCTTCGATAATATTTGCCAATATGCTATCGTTCCAAACTTTGCCAAAACCATCCTAAGGATTGAGAAGTATGTAGTTATAGATGCCTCAAGAATGTACTAGAAATTATATTAATTCAATAGTTCAGTAGAACCTGAAGATTTGGATGATCCAGAACCGACACTTGTTGATGCGGAACCTACATATCCAATTTCGCATGTTACAAAGTCTAAAATGGTCCGGTGAAAATACTTCACGATGTATCAAAGATTAAAAATGAACACAGGTTCTGCAAGCAACGACCCTTACAGGATTTTCAAAATTGTGGACAAAATAAAGCTCACAACACTAGATAGCTTGGGAAGTGATTTTTACACACCTTTTTTAGCTTCTCAGCCCCTCTTTCTTTCTAGCCATCAGATTGAATAAGTCAATCATAATCAACAGCCATGATTAAATAGGGGTGTGTGTTTATCATATCCCAATAACTTTAGCACTGGATTGACATGAATAAATTTTGGCTCACAACATTATACCAAGCTAAAATGAAAGCCTCAACCACAACATTGCATATCACCTTGAGAATTGCAGAAGCCTGGTAGAGCTCTTCTTTTCTTGTAATTCCTTTGCCATCTGCATCACCTACTCAACAGATGAAACTAAGAATTCATTTCAAAAAAAAAAAAAAACAATGATATAGGAGATGATAAGGGCAAAGGTTAACAACTATGAGACATAATTCCAATCGTACCATCAAAACTATTCTCTAGAGATATGACAATTTACAATAAGTAGTGGTAAAGGATGAAACTACCGTAACACAGGATGTATGAAACCAGCAGAAAGACCTGGAGAGAAATTCTTATCCCACCTTAAAGGAATGGGCTTACCTCTATTCCAGATACACTTATGGATGGAGAACAAAACCCTTGTATTGATACAAATTGTACTTTTAAGAGTAGGGATGACTACAATAACTGTACATCATATATGCTCATTTAGTTTGACTAAAATTTTATACATCAATTTCATGCAAACACTGCCCTTGAATCAGTTATAATCACTTTTAGGTTTTCATTCTGAGAGGCCCATTTCCATAGCTAAACCTATAAACAATTGTTCAAATGTTCAGGAAAAGATATGGATAAAATAAGAGATTTATAAAACAAATTAATAGGGTGACATAGATTTCAAAACCCGTGATGACCTCAACTGTTCGAGACATATCTACAATTGTGTTGTCATGTGATCTATCTCTAGTTAAAGTATATGTTGTTTTTATGTAAAATTAATCCATTGTACAGGCGATTATTGAAGGAAAAAGTCATTTCACCGCATAATAAATTTGCGAACAAGTTTATGGTTTAAGCTAGAAGGAGATTAACAAAAATGCATAGACAAAGTTATCTACTAGTTAAAGTGCATTACCAATTGACAAGCATAAAATGTGAACATTATGCCCTCTCACGGTCAGATAGTTTATTGTTGGAGTAAAGAACCTGCAGAAGTACGACACGAGGTTTTAAAACATTATAAATTCAGAACCTCATGCATCACATTATACAATTTGGAAACAAAAAAAGACCTCGTCTCTCATAAACATAAAATCTCAACAATTGCACAGGGGGAAGACCAGTCAAACAAATGAAATTAGGCCATGAGAGCCCTTAAAAAACTCAATTGAAAGTAGCTACAACTGAAGCCAGTATAGATTCTAAGCAGTGACAATCCAATTTTGTATAGGCTTACATGGACTCGTCATCTGGGTGGGCAACAACGAACAAAACATTTCTCTTGTTGACACTGCCACCTGTTTAACAAATATATTTTAGTCAATCAATAGTCGGGGAAGAAAAAAAAAACACCCGGGAAAAGAAGCTCATGCAAACCACCCACCATTTTTCAAATTATTCAAAAAAGTGCCCTTGGGAAGCGAATATGAGCCATGAATAATTTTGAATAACGAAGCTACCCATAGTACAATCACCGAAGAAACAATCAAGAACCATGCCATTCTAGCATGCACCTGCACACAATGATCACCAACACATCAAATCAAACAACCTCCAAACTCGAGTGAGGAACAAATCCAGCAACCCAATCATTGTTTTGTCCTGTAACATACCCCGTAAACATTTAAACGCTACAGGCTTCCCCTATGTGGCATTTCATCAAACACATGGACTACAATACTAGAAAACCTGACTTCCATCAATGGAAGTAAAAAAATAAAACCACTAAAATGCCTAAAAATACCTGAAATAAGAAGTTCATTCCATCAAAAATAGTTTCCATGTGTTTCGTAAAGGGTGTATGCATCAAGATAGAACCTCTACCATTATACAGACAACTTTAGCTCTTTCACAAAATGACTAGTAAAGTAAATGCACATTGGTAAGCTGTAATAATGCTGTTTCCCCTTCTTTTTTTAACTTTATAGTAAGGCCAAATACTGATCGCACTTGCAGGGGCGTATTGCACAAATTTGATCTACATAGAGCAAAGGGATTGACCATAGCATGGTAGGGAGCATTAAACACATTATCATATGAGTCTAATCCAATCCCGACCGTACCTAGAAAGAGATAATATTGTACGCAAAGAGAAAATCCCCAACTTGTTTTTTCCGCTCTACTATTTCGGGATCACATACATTAATGCAGAGGATGCAACTAACAGAGAATGCAAACCAAGATACATATTAATAAAACAAACAAAACAGAGAAATAAACAACATTTGAGTACCCAGGAACCAAACATCATCAACCTTAATACCAAAAATTAAATTAGAAATCTTTGTAATTATAAATTTATAATTCTTTCGTTTCCTCCTATGAATGATTGACTATATCATATAATTTACCTCTGGACCGAGGAATGTGGACTAATTTGTGATGACGGTGGCTCCGTGGAGGATGTCGGTGATGGTGCTCATCTCATCCGGGGAAATGATTGTTTGGAGAGGAGAGGGACTAAGAGAGAATGTGTACGTAGGCGGCGGTGACGGTGGCAGCGTCGGACTAGAGAGAGAATCGTGGGTGGTTGAGGGTTGAGAGAGGAGGTCGTGGGGAGCGACTCACTATGGATATACCGATATCTTCGACGGAAATTTTAGAAACGCATATCAAGTCAATTGTCTATATATACTAGCAAATTGTACCCACGCGTTGCTGCGGGGTTTGAAACACTATTGAAGATGTAAAAGGTCTCGAAAAATATTATATATACTAAAACTCAGTTGATGATGGCACTGTTCAGCAATAGTAAAATGGCGGAAATACCCCTGATTTTTTCTTTGCTTAGCCGTTTTGCTGCTTCTTCCCACATTTAAAAGACGCTTTTGTCCATTACTTCCACGCGTTTGTCGTCGATGGATGCTCTATTTGGACCGAGTCTTTTCCATTTTTTTTTTCTTGCTTTCCCTTGCCTTCTCACAGATCTAGATCTCTGTTCTGTTCTTCTCGACCTTATCCTTTATCGATCTCAGTTTGTGGTGCCTCGCCGATTACGGCCTGCTCTGTTCCTCTCAAACCCTTGAAAGCATCGTCGATCAGATCTCTGTTTCAAGTTTATCCAGTGGATTTTTGTTTTTCATTCCACTGCTGTCTCTCGATTTGTATTGCCTCTCTGATTCTGGCTTTGTCCGTGTGTGTCCAACGGTAGAAACCGGCTTAAATCAATTTTCTGAGGCTTGGTTCTGCTCCTTGGGTCGCTGACCTGGAGATTAAATTATCAAAAATTTGGTGTTTTCACGTTACTGATTCGAATTGGTCATTGCTGAGAGGATCAAATTGGTGAGCTTCGGAACCAAAACCTATTTTCCTTATTTATTTCCTTGCTTTTGCCAATTATTTTTTTATATATAACAATTTTGTTTATGAGGTTTTTATTTTGTTGTTTTTAGGTTTTTTTTGCTTTCCTATTCTTTAGCAAAGAAATTTATATTCTGGTGATTTTTTTAGGGATCCCAGGATTGAAAAAATTATGGGTTCGTAGAGGATTGAAGTGAGTGAAAGCGGGTAATCAGTCAAAGAAAGAAGTACAATTTTCTAGGAAAGTTACGATTTTTTGTTTCATTTTCTGGGTGCCTAACACATTCAAATAGTGCCTCTGAACTTGAGCTGAAGCAGGGGGTGTAAGGAGTGTGGAAAAGCATTAGGACATGAACTGAGATAAGTTAGAAATTGTACACAAATTAGTAGCACATATGGATATTGGGTGAACAGAATATTCAGCTTTCACCATAGGAGTCATATATGCATTTGGGATCTTGACTTAATTTTATTTTGGGGTAATTCTCAATACTTTCCAGATTTTTCTCGACTAGGTTCCACTTCATAAGGGTAACCTATCTTCATTTTAGAATATTTTGATTTTGTGATCTTTGACTAATGCACAATTTGTTCTGAGGTAGAAGGAAAACAAAGTCAAGTATACGAATTGACTTAAAATTGTTTCATTGACAAAGTGTACCCATGGCCTTGGTTTATTTTTTAAAAGTTTTATCTGATTTTAATTGTTAAAGTCCGTATTCAATTCTGCTTAAATTTATTGATAGCATTATTACTTCCATACTGATCCCTAATATTCCACACACAGTGTCTCTGTCACATTGGTGAACTATGGTATTGTACTTAAGTCTTAATGATATTAATGCTGAAAGATATATTTTTTTCTGCAGCCATAAAATCTGTAACAAATTTCCAAGTATACAAGAAGGTTGCTGGGTTGAGTTCGGTTACACAGATAGCGCCGCAGTGTACCATACAAAGGTTTTTTTTCTTTCCTTTTGCCTCTATTTTTGGGATATTGGTTACAAAATCTGTTTTGAGTATAGGTGTGAAATTTACAGTAGGGCTTAGTAATTTAATTAGTTAATTTCATTCTCAATGTGCACAAACGTTGTTCCTGCATTAATTAATTCTCTTTGTATCGAAATTGAATAAATCTAATTCTCCTTCATATCTACTCATTCTACTAAGATATGCAATGCAAATATCTTCTATCTCCTACCTGTAAAGATATGACTTCAAATCGTTTCATTGACAAACTGTACCCATCAATTGCATTTATTTTTGAAAAATTGTATATGATTTTAATTGTTAAAGTCAGTAATCAATTCTGCTTAGATTTTTTGGTAGCGTAAGTACATCCGCACTTATCCCTAATCTTGCACACACAGTGCATCTTTGTCACAGTGGTGAACTATGGTATTCTTTGTTTTAATAATTAACTCAACTTTTGTTTTCCTAGAAACTACTACCGTTCACTTGGAGATATTAAATAAACACCAATATATATATATATATATATATATATATATATATATATGAAAGGAAAACATGTACCCAGCCACCCCCAACTTTCAGTTATTTAATAAACTTAAACACTCAACTGTGCACTATCATCTTATTAGTTCCTGTGAACAAATAAGTGTTTATTTGTTTTGATGAGTTTTCTAATGATGTGTTTTTTTTTAACAGAATTTGAAAAATCTTGAGTTTTTTGGATTTAAAGCTATTTGTTCTCAACGTCCAAGGCGCTTTGTCCTCAAGGTAAATTATTTTAGAATATTTTGAAGCAACACAATGTTCTCTATACAACTACTATAGCAACCATTAACTATGCTACGTTCTATTTCCCAATGTTCACAACTAAAATTGATTACACAACCTTGCTGCAGGTATACCACAGACTACATCACTCTCCACAAAGGTTATGTTTCTTTTTCTTATTATACTCTCTAACCTACTAATATTACGATACATTACCCTTTTCTTGCTCATGCATAAAAAAAATATATATAAACAAAAAAACCAGCTTAAAAAACTAATTTATATTCATCTTCTTCATTGTATGGTTAAGCTTACAGAGAACCTCTTATAGGTATCGTCTAAATCCTCAATCACAATACAACGATTTAATGGTATGTTTTCCTAATTTTCTTTTCTTACTGAGTTTCTGTTTAAATTCAATATTTACTAACCTTTCTCTTCAGGGGAATTGGCTATTACCGATATATATACAGACTGTCTTCTTTTTACCTAATATGAATACATGCCTTATTCCTTGCTTGACCATTGATAAATTTAGTTGGACATATGTCTAAAGTATATCTTCAATCAGAGTACCTGCATTTATACTTATATATATGTCCAGCTTAAACCTCTCATTGGATAAACAACCAGTTAGCCATGTGTTTACAATAGGTCAAAAGAAGAAAGTGATTGTGTATAAATAGGTAGCACCAATTCCTCTGAAGAGAAAAGATGGAAGTGATGATTGAACTAAAATGCATCATCAAATTGTCTCTGTATTGCAAAGAGACACCAAACTATATATATCTGATCCATCTTTTTACACGTATCATTTCACTTTTCAACCTGCTTGATTTAATTCTGCCATTTGCACCAAAATACCTAAACAATGACACCAAATTTTCAAGTCAAAAAAATGGTATGTGTCATATTTTTCTTTTTCTATTCCTTCACTTTTATGCATACTTTCATTTGAATACCATCATTTTCACAACCCCTTATATACATTTGATTCAAACTTCATCATTCTTTACATATCTGTATATATTATACTCACATTTTGTAATCCCGCAGCAACGCGCGGGCACTATTTCTAGTATATACTAAAGAGTGGTTTTTTTTTTTGAACAAACACTATTATCTACCCTAAGGGGGACAGGGTGGACTTAGCCTCACAATGGATGTGGTTCAAATTTACCTTTGACGAGAATTGAACCTAAGACTTCTCACTTACAAATGAAGAGGAATACTACTAGACTGTAGTACTAAGTAGCAAGAGAGATGTTGGTATGCATGTTATATTACAAAAATTAGGAATGTTGGTACGCCATCCTGAAAGATTGTTTTTTCAAAAGCTATGGCTCTATCTCAAGGAGTGTTTTATGTTTACAACTATACAAAGTAGGAAAAAAAGTTTGATCACTCGTGAATTGAATCACCCTAAATTGCATTATGAATTGAATTGAATGAAAATCTAAAGATGAAGGGAAAGTTTTCATAATTTCACTATGCAAGATTTCACTATGCCAGATTTCATTTGAAGGCACCAAAACATGTGCAAAATTAAAGTTGGGGTTTTCATACTCTATTGGGTTTCGAAAGTCATGAAATAACCAAACCAACATCCAGTACACCTAAGAAAAACATAAGCAAGAAAATATATCCAACTCCTCAATCATTAATCAAACACAGTAATACAATCATTGAAAAACTCTCAATCATTTATCAAAATTGAATTAATAAAATTGGATGTTGGGGTCAAACTTTTGTGTCCGCCCAAGGATATTTGAGGGTAAAAATTTAATTTTACTCAATTTAGCTTGTAAGTTATTTTATTTTCAGTCTTCAAATTTAGAGTAAATATTTAACATTCTACAATGTAGTTTCAATTTCAATAAGCATCCAGGAAATAAAATGACATCAAAAAAGAGCCCATCAATTTAATGAAGAATTCTCCAAAACTCAGAACTTTAAATGTAATTCTACGAAATCATGAAAAATTTACTAAAACCCAAATAATACGTAACAAAATTGAAGCATAGCTTGACATGCAAAAGGTTAAAAGGTACCTGAAGTGATGAGCAATGGCTTGAGATACTTTTTTTTACTCACCACTTTGTAAGTTGATCTTTACATAAACTACATCAATTTAAAAAAAAAAAAAAAAAAAAAAAAAACCATTACGTTAAATTCATCTGAATATTTAATCACAGGTGCACCAGAAAATTATAAAAGTTAAAATTAAAAAACTCCAAGATGAATTTAAGCAAAACCCATATCAGATTCTAGACATCAACACTGTAAATAAATAAATAAATTGAAATTTTCCTACCTTTAAGGTTCAAGGTTTTTACTTTAGAATCCATGGAAACCCCAGATTAGATTCTAAGTGTGTTTATCAGAAATAATAATCTAATAAGAAATTAACACTGAAAATAAATAAGAAACCAAAAAAAATTTGAATTGTCTTACCTTTACTTTTTGGGTTTACACTGTGGAATCCAATCGAGAACTGAAGGATGAGAATGGTGATGGTTTTCGGTGTTTCTAGGTTCGTGGGTGGGGTTGCGGTTTTGAATCGTGGTGTTAAGAGAGAGCGAGAGAAACAATGATGTTCACCGGAAAGGAAAAAGAAGATAAAATGGACGGACTGATTTTTTATCACAGTGCCCCAAATAAATAGACGGTCCAGATTCAATTAGATTTACATTGGAGTACTATTGAAATTACACAATTAATACAGGGGCATTTTCGATATTACACTGTTCTTATGAACAGTAACTACTATGTGTTTCAGCTTTAAGGAGTGTATTCAATTGAGAATTTGAGATACTTTAATGGATTTGTAAATCAATGAATTTTTATGGAGTTTAATTGATTTGTAGAGATTTCATATAAAATTTTGATTCAATTTCCTCAAAATCTCATGGGGACATGTGTGGATGTTTAAAATACACTACGAAATCTCTTCAATTCCCTCTAATTTCTCAACTTTCTAAGATTCTTTAAAATCAATTTGTAATTGAATACACCTGAAATGTTATAAACTTCTTTAAAATCCTAATTAAATGCACCTTGAATTTTAAAGAATTACTTAAAATCCTGATTGAATACCCAAATCCCTTAAAATCCTAATTGAATACATCCCCCTTAATGTAGATTGAATTTATTTTTTAATGATGACACATTATTTAGAAACGTAAAAATTTATAAACTAAACGACATGGAAATTGATAATTGGTCGTTGATTAACATATTTATTTTTTAATGGTGACACATAATTTAGTTTACAAATTTAGTCTCCTTAGTATTATATATAGGGAAGTGTTATTGGCACTCCAAAAATTTCATTTTAAATTCCTTACAAGTGTATTTGTCTTTCATAATATAGAAAGTTTAAAATGTAGAATGAAATTTTTAGAGTGCTAATAACAATTATATATATATATATATATATTTTAAAGTACTGTTGACCTTAAAACTACCTAGTTTACGTGACGCACAGACCCGTATAATTAATAAGCTAACTACTTCATTCGGTCTAATGCGGGATGTGTCAACTCATCGGCCGAGCTCGACCGTGGAGTAAAATGTATGCTGATGTGACGTTGGGCGCGCTGATAACTTCTTGATCTCGCGATTGCAACCAAGGAATGAACACGTCTCGACCTTCGGGTTCTAAAGTTTGAAGACAAGACTACTAGTTCTACGAAGTTCAATATCGAATTCAGCTTTCAGTGTGCCAAATATAGTAACCTGTTAACATTTCACTTCACCGAGATACCTCTACTAACAAGGACTCATAAATCTTTGTTGACAGAGATTTGGATAATTAACCAGTCGATCTCGAAGCAATGTTGTTTATCCAAACTGAAGGTGCTCCTCGGTTGACTGATTCTACGGCTCTAGTGTTGTTTATCAAAACTGAAGATGTTGTCAGTTACCTCCACAGTGCTGTTTATCCAAACTGAATATGTGTTGGCAAAAAAAAATCTCAAGGTGTTTGAAAGATTTGGACATGGTAGTTGTGTGTTGAATTGGAGGGGGTTTTGAATGATGCACCCCCACTCTATTTATAGTAGCGATTTCCTCAATGATCGAAGTATAACTTTACTCGAACTAGGACTCCCAATCCAAATAAATCTCGCCCAAGTCCTAACACTCTTAGGACTCTGAATCCAGCTCCCTAATTGTTCTGATTCTTTCCCTTGATTCTCAACATCTTTTTTTACTCGAAGCATCCCTAATTTTTGAAAACCTTACCGCATCGAGATTCGACCTCCTGATCCTTATCCAAACAAAAATCATATTATGATAGGACTCAGATGAACTCTACTGGGCTCAACCTATGGCAGCGAACTTCTTATAAGACCGAGAACAATTATGGGCTCAACCCAAAGTGTTATTTTGGACCTAAATATTGCCCCTTCACTTTTGAGGTGTTTGACCTACAACATATGGCCGAACTTCAACCTTGAAAAAGCGATCCATTATCAAACAAGAAATAAACCCTTGGCCTACACTTTTCGGCCGATCAAAAGATCCATTATCAAACAAGAAAAAGACCCTTGGCCTACTTTCCATCCACTCATATGCATTTATCAAGCACGATCTCCCACGATCAAGGTGCGTAGATGCCGGAACGTCGCTTCATAATGATCATGCTTTAAAGCTCGTTGCCACACGTAATCGTGCAATCTTGATTTGCGTGCTTTTCGGGCTCTTTGCATGGATCTTTTATTTTATAATGAATGTGAAACATTTTGACCGGATTTACCCCTCAAATTTTGTATTTGAGATTGTCGATCTTCTTCCTAATTTGCCTATAAATACCAATTATGGCTTCATTCCTTATTTAAGCGTTCAAAAATCCTAAAACTCTTGCCACTTTGCTTCTGATTGTTCAAAACCCAAAAAAAAAAAAAAAACCAACCTTTGAAACCCAGAAAGAAACCTCCAAGGCCTTGCTTCAATAGTTGCCAACACCTTCGTCACCAAGCTTGCCGAAGAATGTGACAAGTGTCACAATTTCATTGATCGGAGTGCCATCAAGATCTCAAATTTAAAGAGGATTCAGTTGATTCTCATCAGATCCTGGGCCATTTGTTTAAAAATGACGTCCCAAAGGTCATCATTGAAATGCTGAAGAGCCATTGCCTGAGTCTTTTATTCTAGGGTTACAGTTGGTCAAAATGGGAATCGACCAAACCTCAGGGAGCCTGGCCTTCAACCTTGCAACCAGGGCTGCTTGGGTTAGCCGAACCTTACTTCAACACCAACTGAAAATTACTTGGCATCTTCAATGTCATTAAACTCTTAACCATCGATATTAACATAGATTGAGAGTTCCTGATGGTTGCTATAAGTTTCTAGTGCTTGGCCACTAACACTATGGTGCTCTGGCTCGACCTTATCAAACCGATCGTTCTAGAAGTAACAGCTATCCTCGGCACCTCTCCATCTGTTCTTCCAGTTGATACCTCTCTCTCTCGGTATCAATTTTACTTAGATTTGAAAACCGTCTTCGACGAGCATGTTCTTGAAGTTTTGAAAAAAAAAGACAACCATGAGGAAGTACCAAAAGACGAAGTAAACAAATTACACTATAACTTCTTCAACTATAACACTCTTATTAATCACTTTGTCGGCCGAGTAAAAGAAAAACTCAAGAATGGAGAACACTAGGCTTTCTTGTTCTACTGGAATAATAAGTTCATATTTTATACCAAGTCAAACAAATGCCTTGCCGAGAATATGCCAGTGGCCGAAGCCTTGGCTAGTGGTCACAATTTGGCCCTTAGTTCCGCTATCCTCATCAACCTCACGCGCTGCTTGGCCGAGGCAACTGTCGGGAAAATTGACCTGCACCAAAACAACCCATTCTAAGTCTTTCAACTTTGGTTGTAGGTATATTTTGCCACTCTGAGGCCAGAGAATTTTAACTTCGACTCTTCTTAAGCAATGGGCCTTCAATTAGCTTCATGCCTTACCCTGTCTCACTTAGCCGAAGAAATTTTTAAATACTTATTCGGCCTAGACGACCTTACCAACAACGAATTCTTGATTTGTTGTCGGAGAGACTATCCCTCCTCAATCAAATTCCTATATCCGTATGGGAGAAAACAAAAGAAGTAGATCTTTGGCAGAATTGGGGATCGTTCGTGCTGGCCCGCAACCTTCATTTCCTTTATAACGTTTGACGGGTCGGTTGGGAAGTATACCACTCCTATTTTGTGGCTCGACAAATAGACTATCTCCAGGTTACCATGTGCCTCTGCTCACCTCCCAGTCGATTATGAGTCGAGAACGACTTTCTAGTTCTTCAAAACGGGAATGTGAAGAAGTAGAGCAAAAGTTCCAAGAACGATGCACCAAATTTCGCCTTCGGGCGAATACCCCTGAAACCCACGGTACTAGTACTTTCATTGACTGGTGGGATATCTATACCAAGGATTTCTTCGACATGTTGGTCAAAGAAATTAAAAACAAAATCTTTGGCGATCAACCAATGAAAACTCTTACTCCAAAATCCAAAGACACAGCTCAAGGTACTTTTATTCTCAGTATTTTGCTCATATATATATTCGACCAAAAATCTTCATCCTGACTCTAAATTAGTTTTTCCAGGTGGTCACTCAATAAAGTGAGCCGAAATGGTCGCGATGGTCATGGCAAAAAAAAAGCTCGCCCTTCTTCCAAAGAAGGCTGTTGCTATCATGGTCGCCTCTCCCAAGATAACTTTGACCATCCCAACCCTAACAAATGTTGCTCCTTTGCAGGTCACTACTATGTCACATGCTGCTACCGTGGCTGAACCAATCGACATCCTAGTAGTTGAGGAATCTATAGCTCAAATCTCGACCATTCCTCATCTCGATGTTGTGGTCATCAGCCCAAAAGTTGATATTCCTGAGGTGGTGACAGTTGTCCTGGCCAAAGTGACTCCCTCTCTTAATCCAAAATTATTCCAACATCGAATATTTTAGAGGAAGGGGTACATATCTTTCAATACATTTTTTTTAAATAAACAAAATATCTTTGATTGATATCTAATCCTTTTCTGTCATTAGGAAAACAATAGCGAGCCGATCCCGCTAGTGAGGTACCCTTGATCAGTTAAGTAAGCAAATATAGATCATTTGCCTCTAGACAAAGGCAAAGTTGTCATATCCTCTGTGCCTAATCCAAGCCAGGATGATATCCAACTACTAGTAGGGGCCACTAGTCATGCTAATCCTAAGGTAGCCGCTAAGGGGCCATCAGTCGAAATGGTGGCTTTTACAGAAGAAGAAGCGATCACAGAGACGCCGGTTCATCACCTAGACCAAGATCTCGGCATCCCTGCCCATGATGTCACCTCAACCTTTGTAAGTTCTTTATTTTGATTCTGAATTTTGTCTTGGAATGCTAAACCATGATAAAAACGTCCAACTGTCAGGTGCCAAATCGTTAATTCTATCGAAAATTTTATGTGCCGAAGGGTGTTGTCTATATTTCATGGCTACTTAGGTGGCCATCTAACGTAGATAAACTTCATTGGCCATATGAATTGAAGAGCTATCTTAAACATTGGGCTTGCCATTAAGCTCTCTGGGTTAAACCAACAGCCCAAAAGATATGGCCGAAGTAATTTCTCGACAGGTTTAAAACAATTCTCTGTTGTTTTTTCTTTTAGATTTTGCTCATCTAAACCCTTTTTTTTATGTAGCCTTCATGGGAAGTCGAGCTTGTCGCCTATCTCACTAGTGCATTCAGGATGGTCGATCATTTCCCTAACCGAGTCCAACTCTCTAACCAAATTGCTCGTCTTTGTAAGCTCTTCAAATGAAAGGTCAAGACTTTGTTGGAGAGTGCCTGAACAATTTTGCAGCTGACAGTTTGGTGAACAATGAAAGTGTTGTCCACTTGACGACCGTCTTAGAGTGAACTCAGCTATACTTTGATATTTTCTAGAAGGTTCTACAAGCTGATGAGGACCTGAAAGCTGCAACGACTTCCTAGAAGGCTACCTTACCAGACCTAAAGGCCATCAAAGCGAAAAAAGAACAAATGGTAGATCTCGAGAGTCACATTTGCGAGCTTTAATCCCAAAGATCTGACATTGCTTTTGAACTTAAGAAGGAATTTGAGGTAAACAAACCTCGGTTTGCAGAGTATGCGGCCGACTCAAAACGGATACAAGCGTTGAAGGTGACAAGAAGACTTGGCAGGCCGAGATCATTATGAGCGAAGTAAAATGGTTAGACTGCCTAGAATACTTTCTTCCCTCGACCCTATAGCTCTATCCTAGTGTCGACTTGTGGGCCGGTTGACTATTTATGTATATTCATGTTGTCACAGCCCATTCCGAAATACTTTTATCGAATGTGTGAAAATACCAAAATGCCCTTGGGCGTTGCGATAAGTCATATGTGACATGGTTTTAGAAGTGGACCAATATAATTATTTTCCTAAGTTTTTGGGGCCAATAAGAACTAAACCTTGGCTAGTTGTGATTGGTGTGTAGATTGGACCACACACATCCACATTACTTTATCTCTCTCTTCCCTCCCGTGTTCTCTTTCTATCTCTCGGACTCACTCTTTTCCCTCTCCTCTGTATGGACAACCTTGAACCAAGCCAAATCTTTGCAGATCGAGGAAAAAATGGTACCATTATCTTCATGAGGACCACACAAGTTCAAAGGTACCCATTTCAGGTAAGAACTCGTTCGATATCACGTTGAAAACTCAAGCTCCGAGTTGAGCACTATTCATGAACTTTTGAATGGTTATGTTTTAGGACAATCCAAGCTTGCAACGAGCTCTAGGAGGTTCTCACGAAGCTCAGAGTGCTTCGTTGGCTCGGTTTTGACGTCGGGATCACGAGGTTTGAAGGTGACCGATTTTTATGGGATTTTCGCGACGAATTTTTGAGGGATTTGAAGCTCCAAAGAGGTGAGGCCTATCCCGAGGACGAGCATATCCACAGGCGACTCGGGGGTTACGACCCGTCGACATACCAGTGAGCGGGCTTTTGTTTTCAGTATATATTTATATACTTGATATATTTCCCAGAAATGCATTTTAAGGAAAGTATGCTTTGAAATAATATGTCAAATGCTTTTATATTCTGAATATGCATTTCATGGTTGCATATATATATATATAAACGTGGTGCTGTGGAGGCACAAGTAAGTTCAAGTAAATTATGTTTGGCTATGTGAATCATCAATGATATGATATGTGATTGAATGATGTTGAGCTCATAAAACTGCACCTAGGGTGATTGTGATTTAGCCAGAGATATGAAGTATAAGCCTGTTTATTTACATCACCTCCCGCATTATATGCTCATATTGGATCCAACTTAAGTGCACAGTCTTATCGTACAGACCTTATTTATGGTTCCGACTCGTAGGTGACTAGCGATTTATCACCCGGCTATTATGAGAGAGTAAAAATTGAGCATAATTATATTACACCTAATCTTGTCGTACAGACCTTTATAGGGGTTCCGACTTATGTGCAGTATATTACCGTATAGGTCATTATAGTGACTCCGGCTAGATTGATTTTGAACTATAAATTCAGTCCTGCAGACTACCATAGGGGTTCCGACTAACATATCATATTTCTATGAATTTATTTTTACTTGAATTGCTTACTCTGTTATATATTGGCATGGCATATATGTTTGATTATGATTATGTGAAGCATGAATTGAATTGATATGAATTCATATATATGTATATATATTATGCATATGCTTATATTTTGATTCTGGGAAAAATTATACATGATTTACAGCGAGGAGTTAGTATATTGATAAAAGAAAATAGTTTTGTAAAACATTTGTTTTTGCCCACTCACGTTTTCTATTTTGCGCCTCTCCAGGTTTTAAGTAAGCTTGTTGTTGGTGGCTTGATGACATCGGTAGTTTTGACTTATCCAAATAATAGTAGGACATTCCTGGTACTGTATAACTAGTACTTGTCCTACTGGATTGCACCTAGACTTTTATGCTCTGATTATGAGTGTTTACTGTTGTAACTAACTCCTATCACTTTCTATTTAGTAGTGCACTCTAGTAATTTGGTTTTTAATTATTCGTATATCTCTTATTTTTATTGCTTCCGCACTGTGCACATGGCTACGTCACTCTCACGTGACGGCCAGCATGCCTTGATCTCGGTCGAGGTGTGTCACATGTGTACTTTTTTGCAGTCTTAATGAATTCTCTCATTCTTGCATCTCCCAAGCAAGGTATTAAATATCGATGATATCGGAAATATCGGTAGTCCAAAAACACGGAAATTTCGATGGAAATATCGGGATATTATCGATATCGATAAAAATTGAATAAAAACCACGGAAATTGTAAGAAAAACTTGGAAATTTTATTGAAACTTTGCAGGATGTTTATTTAGTCAATTATCTATTAGTTTATCACAAAAAATTGGAAGGAAATGCATTGCATGATAGATGTAACTGATTTAAGTTGATTATATAGCGAGCTGGCAAACATTGTGAGTGTAGAAAATATGTAGTAATTAATGAAAGAAGTTTAAACACACCATAATAATTTATATATAATGAATTAGTACAATATTTTACACTTTATATGTTGTATGGTAAGATACATGAGTGACTTAGCAAGATCTAAAATATTGATGACATCAGAAATATCGGTAGTCTAAAAACATGGAAATTTCGATGGAAATATCGGGATATTATAGATATTTTAGACCATGTTCCCAAGTAACCAGATAATACTTTTTTAAGAACTTCTCATTGATTGGCAACTTGTGTATTAACCCAGTTCGATCCTTGAGATGGTATGCCCCCTTGCCGAGAACCTTATGAACGATAAACAGTCCTTCCTAATTCAGTGACCATTTTCCAAACTTCGGATCCTTGATCCCAACTGGCAACTCTGTTTGCCAGACCAAGTCACCTTTGTGATAGGAGCATATTTATGCGACTTAATTGGCTTGTTCTCGTGCATTTACGTTGTGTTTCCTTAGTTATTTTAGTGTTTAAAGTCACTTTTGTGTGTTTTCAGATTCTAAGGGCAAATGATGCAATTTGGTGCCTTTTGGAGAAAATTGGGCTTGGAATGATTATCACAAGCTTGGAGCAAAAGGAATGGACGTAATTGAAGATTTGAAGAAGTTTGGATTCCTAATCAACGAAGGATTCCTAAGCAACGAAGGATTCCTAATTGAAGATGGATTCCTACTCACATGAGGATTCCTAGAAGAACAAGGATTCCTACTTGAAGTAGGAAAGTTAAGCCAAGGTTTCCTATTTTGGTTTGACCTTTCCTAATTCTAAAAAGTCCTTATGTTCCAGCCACTTTGAAGACTTCATATGCATTCTAGGACACAAAACAAAGGCCCTAGAACCCTTATGGACCTTTGCCGCACCTCCCTTGAACTTTCCTCTTCCTTGCCGTGCAAGGGAGAGGGTTCTTTCCTATTTCCTTGCATTAAAACACATTCCTTTTGTGTTTTATGCCCTTGCCGCACCTTTTAGTCAATCTCCTTTAAGTTTCTCGTTTGATTTCCTATTTCTGGAAGCTTATAACTTAATTTCTATTTACCTAAATAACCTAGGGTTTTAATTCTTGAAATCCTTTAAATAAACCTCCTTTTTGCAGCCACAATCCATCCATTCACTCACCCATTCACGCCAGAAATCATTCCATACACTCTGCCGCACCCTTCCTTCACCATTCACCCTAGTTTCTACCCAAAAACATCCCTTGCCGTCCCATACATCCAACCCAACCATAAACCCATCATTCTACACCATCCATAACTCCCTAAACTCACCACCAACCCTTGTGCCGCAGCAAATGAGAGGAAGAAGAGGTGCTTGAAGGTTCTAGCTGTTCAACATTGAATCGTTGGAGAATTTAGGTGTTCTCTTTCTTATGTTTACAATGTATAAATCTGTTTTCCTTTGTTTTGTGAACATGAGGAACTAAGCCTTTTTGGCTAGGGGGCTCTTCAATACCATGATTATACTTGCAAAATGAACTGATTACTTCCAATTATTATTTCATGAATTGTGAATTCAATTTGCTTAAACGTTTGATTGATAACTTATTTTTGTGTGTTGATTAAGGTGGCCAACTTAGTTTTCATGCAGGAATTTGAAGCTAAAATATAAGGAAGTTTCACCTAATAGTTACAACCTTATATTTGCAAGTAGTGGAGGTCGCTTATAAACGATCGTGTTAAGTGAATTCTTGGCAAACGTTTCATGCTTTTCATAGTAACAATTGCCTCGTCAATGCTTATAGTTTTCATGAAGCTTAATGATCTTTGATTGTACCTTTATTGTGCTTTTCACGTAAGGGACTTTTAGAGAATGTTTTGAGTTGTTGTATGTGCATTCCCATCCAATTCAATAACTTAAGAAAGACTTGAAGGTTAAAAAAGTGCTATCACAGTTAACCTAGGGCATTGAGGTTCATGGTTTATTGAAAGAAGCAATTGGAAATCAAATTTGAATGCAAGTGTGTCATGTGTGGAGAAGAACCCTCTAGTTACCCCATATCTCATCAATTCACCTAATTTTGTCTAAGAATCTGTTTACATTGTTCTTGTCTTAATTTACTTATTTTCGTCCAAAATCAACCCCACCTTATTTCTTTGAGTCATATTAGTTAGAACTTGTCTTAGATTATGTTTTTAAGTGTTTTGAGCCATTAGAAAACCAAATTTCGTCCAAAATTGTGTTTAGAGCTCAAAACTGCCCAGTTTGTGTTTTTAGGCTGTTTTGAGTGTTTTTAGCTTGTTTTGAGTCTTTTGAGTTTGTTTTGAGTCTTTTGAGTCTAGTTAAGTGTTTTAAAGCTTAGTTTTATCTAATTGAGTCAGTTTAGAGTGTTTAGCAATCTCTCATAATCCCCGGTTTAAGAACGATCCCTACTTATACATATACTACAATTGTCAACAAGAGGGTTTAATTTGTGTGTTTAGTTATTTTACGCATCACTTTGCCTCTTTTGTTTTACTCGTTGATTATAGCTCGCTCAATGATATTTTTCTATGCCACCAACATATTATAGGCATCGAGTCGAGCTTCCTTAAGATCCTCTAAATCTTGCCTTATTGCTTGACTATATTCGGCACTAAACGAACTACTTTGTTCGATAATTCGCAATGAGTTTATACTTAACTCGACCGGTAAAATTGCATCATGCCCATAAGTCAAGGCATATGAAGTCATCCATGTTGTTGATCGAAGTGAAGTTCGATATGTCCATAATGCCTCATTTAATCTTAAATGCCACATACTAGCCTTTCGTTCACCATTTTTTTGAGAATACCAATCAAAACTTTGTTGCTTGCTTTGGCCTGCCCATTCGCATGTGGGTAATACGGTGTGGACAGCTCGAGCCAAATGTTCATACTTGCTATATAGTCTTTAAACCTATCGGTCGTAAAAATCGTGCCATTGTTTGTGATAATCGTTTATGGAAAGCTGAATCTTGTTACAATGTTTTCTTCTAAGAAATTACAAACTTCTTTAGACGTTAACTCGGCGTACGATTTCACTTCAACCCACTTGATGAGGTAATCAGTCATTAAGAGTATCCATGCATGTACCTTGTCTTGCAGAGGTAATCAGTCACTAAGAGTACGATTTCGCTACAACTCATTCTGATATAATACGTAATTTGTAGCATGTACCCTTGTCTTGCAGTCGTGCTTGCCACTAGGTTATCAAGGTATCGTATAATTGATCTTATCCAATCATCTGGCAATGTCTCAACCACACAAATGTCTACGGGAGTCTCTCGTTCAAGTAACAAAGGTAAAAACATAACCCGTGTCCGGATTACGCCGTTCGGTTTGAGAACTTGTTGATTAACCAAGGCTGGGTATGGAAGCCAATTGACTAGTATGACCCAGCCTACCTCGCCCCCCAAGAGTTGTGCTCAGGAGGCTATTTGAGGTAACTCATCAGCATCAGTATTCTGAGTTCAAGAGATATGGTTAAATGTGATGCCTACAAATGATTCGGCTAAATAGCTGGCGACCATATTATATGACACCAGAGTACAACTTAT